TATCCATATTGCTATTTTAACATAATTACAATCATAATACGACATTAATAATTAAATTCTTATTTTAACATGGGATCATCTTGTAAATCAATAAAAAATACAAAAGAGTCTAATGATTTTGATATTCCAGAATAAGAAGGAACAATAAAAACTCTTGGTGATGAGCCAATTCCTAAGAAACCTTATTGTTGTCTTTCAAATGAATTAACTGAACAAACTGATAATCTTGCAGAATTAGAAATCACAAAACACACAGGAATACCTGAAAATTAAATTTTCCATAATTCAATTCTTTACTCGAGAGAGATTATTCAGTCTTAATAATTCTAATAAAATAGTAAGCCACGTTAAAAAAAGAGAACGAATAGAGTTAATAAAAATACTGGAGCACATTATGAAAAATAATTATACAAATAATTAAGGATGAATATTTTATCTCCTGATGGAATAATTAGAAAAATATATTGAAATACCATGAACTTTGTTTTATATAAAATTTGTCTTTTTATATTTCATAAAAAATGCATTATTTAAAACTATCTATTTACTTCTCTATCATAAATTACCAGTACAAGAGAAAAAAGTTACATACTCATCGTTTTTTAAACTACTTTTTATTTTTAATTTATGACCTTTTGTTGCTTGTTATCGATTTTTAAATTTTATTCTTTGTTCTCTAAATATTGAAATTGCCTTAATGTATTTGATTATTTTTTTTTGCGCTTATTTTTCTTTATTTTCTAAAATAAATCAAAATTATCAGATAAATATATATTTACTAAAAGTCATTTTTGTAAAGATTCAAAATTTATTTATTCTATAATAAAATAAAAGAAACCTGAATATTTCAATTTATTTATATAATCATTCCCTTTATCTGTAAAGAAAGTTTATATGTCATTTTTTATAATGTTAATCTTTTTACAATAAAAATTTAGTTTATCAATTTTCGTAAAGATATATACAATATTATTAACTCAAAATTAAGAATTTGATACATAAAATATTTATATAATTCATTAAATTATCCATATTTTTGAATGTGCAATAAATATTTATTAGATTAAATTTTTGATATCCAAATTAGAATAAATTAATAGCATTCTTTTTTAATTATTTTCATAATTTTGCTAGAAAATTATTAAAAGATACATAATAATTAAAAAAATGACGTGTTATCTGAGTTTAATTAATAACAGTTTATTTTTAGAATGTAAATAACTATATATTGTAAATAATACGCATGATTCTCTAACTTAATGTATTTTTCTCTAAATCCGAATTCAAAAAAAATTATTTAAATAACTATTATGAATTCTCTCTAATAAATTTATCTTCAGGCCATAATTAAGCAATAAGAATTGGAAAATGTTAAGTAAGAAGAAGAGGTTTAAAGACAAAATCAAGAAGTAAAAATAAATTATATAATTTTTAGAATTTAAGATAGAGATAGCTGCTCTCTTTCGTAGTACAACCTTCTTCAAATCCTTGTGATAAGTAGTAAGTTTTTAATTCTATATTAGTTTAACTTGTCAATTGATTGAGATTTAGAACAAAATAACAGAATTTTTTTAATAATAGGTTTTGAGGCGAGAACTAGTTATTCTAAGAAACTAATTTGAAAATAGTTTACCTATTTTTCTAAATGTATTAGGAAATTTGATACTTCATGGTTTGGATTAATTAAAAGAAGAAGAAAATTAAACTAGAATTCTAAAATGTTAATTTATAAATTAACCAATGAATATATCTATGAGTAAATCTTTATTTAAAACACTCTCACTTTTATTGAGATCTTCTCTGGTTGAGTTTGAAAAAGGTATTTCTATTACTTAAACATTAGATTAACTCTAAAATACTCGATATAGAAATTTTTAATACTTTTCTAAATTCTTACTTTTTAGAGATGATTTTTGTGATATATTTTTTAATACTCTCTATTAATACTAAATATTTCAACATAAATAAGTGAGTTAATAGCTTAGTTTTAATTAATTACATTAGTTGATAGTAAAATAAACAGAAGATGTTTGGAGTACATTCATATATAAATTATTGAGCTAATAGTAATAGTAATTATCAAAAGATTAATTTTTGGTTTAATTTAATAGCTATACAATTTTAATGAATAACTTTTTCAAAAAATCAAATTTAATATATGAAATAGTGCAAAATTCAGTAAAACAGACAGCCTAGTTACATTTTGACTAAATTTTTTAAGAGGTATAAATTATTATGAATTTAGTATCTGTTAATTATGGGTAGTTTCAAAGCAACAACTCAAGATTTTTTGAATAAAGCAACTAAAATCTTTTTTGATGATTAAAATACTTTTATAGATTTGTCAGAATTTATAGTAAGAACAAAAAAGATACATAAATAAATGAATAGTTCGAATTTATATATATTACCAATGTTAATTTAGTTAGAGACTCAAATGATAGATTCAAGTTAATTTGATGGGATGTAAGAAACAACACTATTCAAGAACAATACAAATTACTATCTGAAAATGATAGAGAAATTGAAGAATAAATGTGTATACAATGGTGAAGAAAATTGTAAATGCAATAAATGTGAATGTATACGTAGAAATAGAAATTCTGCTAAAGAATCTTAGAGAAAAAAGAGAGAAGCTTTTGAAAAGATTGGTCCCTTGTAAGATGCTTTAGAAAAATTAAAAATAAAGGTTAGAATAGTAGAAAATGAGAATGAAAATCTTAGATAATTACTAATAAATGTTTTTGAGCATCCTTAAGTATTAGGATTAGCTTCAACCTTTATAGAACCACTAACAAAAATAATTTCAGATACAGATTCTGGAATTGTTTCAAATGAATGTTGATTCTTGTCAACTTTAAATTAACAAAATTTTACTTTTTCTAAAGAAATTATATTAATAAATCAAAGAATTATATATTATATAACTTATTTTATATGAAATAGAACGATGTTTTCACTAAAAGAGANCAACCTTCTTCAAATCCTTGTGATAAGTAGTAAGTTTTTAATTCTATATTAGTTTAACTTGTCAATTGATTGAGATTTAGAACAAAATAACAGAATTTTTTTAATAATAGGTTTTGAGGCGAGAACTAGTTATTCTAAGAAACTAATTTGAAAATAGTTTACCTATTTTTCTAAATGTATTAGGAAATTTGATACTTCATGGTTTGGATTAATTAAAAGAAGAAGAAAATTAAACTAGAATTCTAAAATGTTAATTTATAAATTAACCAATGAATATATCTATGAGTAAATCTTTATTTAAAACACTCTCACTTTTATTGAGATCTTCTCTGGTTGAGTTTGAAAAAGGTATTTCTATTACTTAAACATTAGATTAACTCTAAAATACTCGATATAGAAATTTTTAATACTTTTCTAAATTCTTACTTTTTAGAGATGATTTTTGTGATATATTTTTTAATACTCTCTATTAATACTAAATATTTCAACATAAATAAGTGAGTTAATAGCTTAGTTTTAATTAATTACATTAGTTGATAGTAAAATAAACAGAAGATGTTTGGAGTACATTCATATATAAATTATTGAGCTAATAGTAATAGTAATTATCAAAAGATTAATTTTTGGTTTAATTTAATAGCTATACAATTTTAATGAATAACTTTTTCAAAAAATCAAATTTAATATATGAAATAGTGCAAAATTCAGTAAAACAGACAGCCTAGTTACATTTTGACTAAATTTTTTAAGAGGTATAAATTATTATGAATTTAGTATCTGTTAATTATGGGTAGTTTCAAAGCAACAACTCAAGATTTTTTGAATAAAGCAACTAAAATCTTTTTTGATGATTAAAATACTTTTATAGATTTGTCAGAATTTATAGTAAGAACAAAAAAGATACATAAATAAATGAATAGTTCGAATTTATATATATTACCAATGTTAATTTAGTTAGAGACTCAAATGATAGATTCAAGTTAATTTGATGGGATGTAAGAAACAACACTATTCAAGAACAATACAAATTACTATCTGAAAATGATAGAGAAATTGAAGAATAAATGTGTATACAATGGTGAAGAAAATTGTAAATGCAATAAATGTGAATGTATACGTAGAAATAGAAATTCTGCTAAAGAATCTTAGAGAAAAAAGAGAGAAGCTTTTGAAAAGATTGGTCCCTTGTAAGATGCTTTAGAAAAATTAAAAATAAAGGTTAGAATAGTAGAAAATGAGAATGAAAATCTTAGATAATTACTAATAAATGTTTTTGAGCATCCTTAAGTATTAGGATTAGCTTCAACCTTTATAGAACCACTAACAAAAATAATTTCAGATACAGATTCTGGAATTGTTTCAAATGAATGTTGATTCTTGTCAACTTTAAATTAACAAAATTTTACTTTTTCTAAAGAAATTATATTAATAAATCAAAGAATTATATATTATATAACTTATTTTATATGAAATAGAACGATGTTTTCACTAAAAGAGAAACCCTTCGACCAATCAATACATTAACTTGTTTTGATTCTGCTCATACGAATTCATTATACATATTGAAAATGAAAGAGTTAACAGCAATTTATAAATAATAAAGTGAATTACTTTAAGATGATCTTTCTAATATGAATCAATTAGTAAACACATAAAGTGAAGACATTTAAAATGAAATTGAACCTCTAATTCTTTAACTAAAATAAATGCTCTAATAATAAGTTGTTGAATATAATCATGAAATGCAAGACTAAATTGTTTAATTAGAAAACATTAGAAGTGATAATTTGTAATTAGAAAAAGAAATATTCAAATTGCAATAACGTTTGACTTAATTAGATGATCATATTGGATAGTAAGTGCTATAAAGAAAATACGACATTAAATTTTCATGATTTATTATTGCAAAATATATAATTTATTCATAACTAATTATATGTAAGTAAAATAATTTTAATAGCTTTGATGTTTCAAATAATTTAAAAATAAATTTTTAGTTATATAATAAAAACTAAAATAGGATCTAGAAAATATCAATATTATAATAATTAAAGTTTATTTGATAATATTTATAAGTTAAATGTGAATTCCAATCTAAACTCAAATATCATTAATCCTCATCTTAATCCTTTTTTTCTAACTAATTTTTTTAATTAGTTTTTGTCTTTTGACCTTTTTTATCCTTCAAATCAGTATCAACAATAGAGCTAAAATCTACTTAATTGAAATCAACTTTAATTGGTATTCCTCAATTATTTATAAAATATACCTAAATGCATTAAGTAATTAGCTCTGTCCCAATGAGTATCTAAATTGTAGAATTATTTAAAATTAACTACAATAACTTTTTTTGTGACTGTTTCCAACAGTACCTTTTCTAAGATTCCAACACCATTTAAGGAAATTAAATCAAAATTTAATTATACTGTACTGACTATAAATAAAGATGTCTAACTTAATTTATTAAATTTTATAATTACATAGACGGTATGTAAAGTTCAACATTAATACCATCAATATTTTTATTAAGTTATACTTCTATGCCCAATAATTATAGATATTGGAGACAAAATTCATGTATATAATAAGATTTTTTAGTTGGAGAAGCAAGGTTCAATCTGATTTTTTAAAATTTATCATCATTAAGGAATATTTCATGTGCTTTAGTAATAACTGAATCTGGATATTTTCGAAGTAATATTTCATAAATTAAAGCAGTTCTATAATTATCTTTATTTTTTATTTCATCTAATGATGGTACATGTATTTCAATATCTTAAATAGGCTAATTTGTTAAGATTTAATATTGCATCAATTTGAGAGCAACTTAACTTGAAATTTAATTTTTATCAATTATTTAATTAATTAAATCAACTATTTCTTTTTCAATAAATCCTAGATTAATAACCATTTCAATAATATCATCATAATATATTTTATAAGATGAAGCAAATTATTTAATTCTTTCTAAAGTTCTTTTAAAAATATCATATTATTTAATTTTGGCTAATGCTAAAATTTCTAAAATTTAAATTCTTTATTCATTTACAACACCAAAGAAGAAATATCCATAAGAGTCAACAAGAGCATTATAAACTGTTTAAGTTTTGATTTAAAATTTAGCAAATTTTTTTACAGCTTAGATAGTTCTATCAATTCCAAGTTTTGGTGAAAATTAATGAAAATAACTTGCTAATTCTCTTAATATAGAGGCATTTTTGGTCTACATGATTAATTAAAAGTATTAGTTAGTCGATATTATGTAAGTTAATAATTTTTCAAATGTAATTTTTATAATTTAAACTTCCTCAGGTGTCAAATTTCCTAAAGTAATTAAATTATAAACTGGTTAAAATTGATTCGATGTTTACATTTCTTTTAATAAACCTTTTTTAATTTAATTACATTCTTCTAAAATATTTTATGGTACATCTTTTTAGGATTAAATAATCCCATAAAGTAAAAATTTGGTGTTTTCCTTTATATATTCATTATTTAATTAAATGATAGCTTCTTCTGGTGATAATAAATTATAATTCATTAGTAAATTGACAAACAAAGGATCTGGGTATGGAGAAGATGGACATCTGGTTTTGAAAATTTAAGCAGTCTTTTTTAATAAGACTCTCATATATTCACTATAATATCCATTTATTTCAAATCGAATTACAAAATTTACTATTGGAAAAAGTTTTTATTCAGGTTATGCTTAATAACCAACAACTAATATTTTAGTGGCTTATTAGATATAATCACTTTTTATTAAATCTTATAATTATTTTTAATTAAGTGTTAAATAATCTACAAATTTTTGAATTGGTATTTTAGATGGATCTTTAAGCAAGATTTATGAGAGTGCACTAAATGATTCATAATCAAGTGAACTAACTTTTTATGCCTACAATCTACTAAGTAGTTATTTAGGATGAATTTAAGAACTTAATTAATCATACAATTATGAGAGAGCATTTTTACATTTTTTAGTGCAACAACCAACTATTAAATCCTTAAATATTTTTAGAAAATCATATTGTTATTATTTGACTTACTCAATTAACTTTAAATAGGCTTCTTCTTACAATTAATATTTTAAATAGTAATTTAACTCAATTTCTTAAAAAGTTCTTAATGCTTGTAAAGGTTGATTCTAAATTTATTCTTTACAAATTCCAAGAAATTAATCTAAATTTTCTTTTTAATCTCTATTACAAAATATTGCATAAGTGGTAGCTATATTTAAAGGAATTGATTTAACTTTATTTTTTTTAATAAAATCTTCAATAAATTCTTTCGTATCGATTCCATTAAAAAATAAAAATTTCTGAATCATAATACTTTTATTTTCTATTTGTTAAACTGCAATAATAAATTAATCTATTTTTTTGTATTTCATTAAAGCTGGTATCAACTGATCTATTTGTTAAAAATCAATAATTTTTTTTTAAATTCTTCCAGATATTTCTATAATTACACTTCTAATAATCTCAAAATTGAATTTGTGACTCAAATTAATCATTTTTTCTGCTATATCGATCAAAAATATATCATGGATCCTTTAAGCTCTTCCTTAAAAAGAAGCCCTAATTTTTTCTTTTAGAAATTTTAAAAGTTGAAAATCGAAATATTTTGGAAGATATTCATAAGCCTCCAAAATCCGTATTAATTGATGTTCTGTAAGCGAATTAATAGCTATTAATATCGAACTTTCTATTCTATATATTTACTTTGGCAATTAGAATTTTGGAGGAAGATTTTAGAATTGTACTTTAGCACAAACTTATAATAATTAACATTCCTATTTATTAAATATTTTGATACTTATTCAAGATCAAAGTTTTGCAAATTAAATTCTACAAATTACATAGCTTTGGTAAGGATTATTTAATCATGTTTAGAAATATTGCAATGGTTAATTCTAATAACAAGTGTGTTTAAGAGTTAGATTATGATGAATGGAGAAGTTTATGTTGGACTTAGCATTTATTCAGAAATAGATTTGACAAGATTCTCATGGTAATGGTTTAGAATTGAAAAATTATGGTAAATACTACACATGTTTCTAAACGAAAACATTTAATTGTCACACATCTATTAAATACGTGAAAATAAATGGGATTAAGTTTATAAAGTAATATTTGTTGGAACTCTATTTTATCTGCATTTCCTTAAACTTAATAATACATCCACAGCATCTAAATAATATAATATATAAAATACCTTATTTTGTTAATGTGGTAATAATATTATTTAATTAACATGTTATTTCTGAAAATTATTTGTCAGAATTTATTTCGCTACTATGTTTTCCTATAATTCTCAATGATTAGACAATATGTTCACTTTTAAATTATTCTTTATTTTGTTAATAAATTTGAATGAGATTATTTGGATCGTCAATACTACATAATTTGTGAATCAATGATTCACATGTTGAAAATCCAAAAGCTATCATTTTATTCATCCAGAATTAAAAAAATTAATTGATTTATAATCTCATACTTCAAAAGTCAATATCATTTATGATTGTTTCAAAGATATTTATGGTTTATCTTTTTACTTCAAAACTTTCTTCCCTAAATCAAAAGTCTGCTGATAAACTATGTTTTTATCACCTGTCTCTCCATAACCTTCTAAGATCAAACTATCATTCTATATTTAATATTCTAATTGTAGGTTTTATATATTCCTATCCCATTATAAAATGAGTGAATAATACAACTTACTATTTTCTATCCCTGTTTTTGGCTATAATTTATTAGATTTTTACTTTTATTACAAATAATGCTTTCTATCTAAATCCTTCTAATTCTCTTTCCAATTCTTAATTATGTTATTAAACAATTATTGAATTATTCTTCATTTAATCATAATTATTTAATTCTTTAGTTAACTCTTACAACTATTAAACTGTATTTCTATCATCTTTTTTAAATATTTACTCTAAATTTTTAATATCATCCTTTAATTTCCTTATCTCATCTAACAATTATTTCTTTTCATGATCTAATAAGTGATTTTGTTTATGTAAACGATCATATTTCTCTTTCCATTATTAGGCTTCTTTTGATAATTAAACTTATTTCTCACATTCAAGTCTAAGATATCTCATTATTTAATACTTGAGTATTTACACTTGCTATTTTAATTCTTCATTTTCCTTATTTAGTTATTTTATTGTATTTTGAGATAATTAAGGGGATATCTAGGATTACATTTTAAATAATATATTAATATTAATTTAGAATTTTATATTCCTCAATATAAAACCTAAATTATTAATAAATGAATGATCCATAATAATTTTTTCAAATCTATATTTTCATTATTTTTATTACATATTATAATTTCATTAAAATACATTCTTCATTTATTTTATTCATTCACTTATTGTTCCAATTATTCTAATTTAAGAAGTGTAAAGGACTTTATTGGCATTATTTTTGGTTTGCATAATACTTCAGAAAATAATGGTTTTTCTGAAAACACTTATCCATTTCTAGGAATTATTTCTTTGGCATTCATTTTTTAATCTCAGATGAAAAATTTATTTAAATTTAATAATACAGAGAATAAATATAAATTATATTTTTATAATTTATAAAGAATAAAAATATGAAAAAAAATAAGATTCACCTTCGATTTACCTTTTTAATTTTGATTAATAAAATAATAAACACATTATTAATCGCAATTACTGAGATATCTATGATTTTTTATGAAATTTCATCTTTTGTTTCAGTTATGATCTCTACTTTAAATTCTATCTAAGTTATTTTGTTTTGAAGAAATAATGTTAGAAATTTTTAATCATTTAAACTTACATCAGAATTTTTAATTAGTTTCCAATTATCTAATTCAATTATTTTTACATATTTATTTCTTTTTTCATACAAAGCGATATGAGTATTATTTAAAATATCAATCTCTTCATTGGGAATATTTTTTATTACATAAGAGTTTAATATTTAGAACTCATTTTCAATGTTAAATAAAAATATTTGTAGGTTTTGGCAATAAATTAATAATTTTTATTTTAGAATATATGAATTACAGCTATGAACAAATTAAGGATATCTGATAATATTATGTAATTTAATATGATATACATTGCTACTCAATTTTATTTAAAAATAAAATATCAAATCGTTTTGATATAAAAGTAAAAAGTTAAACTCTAGCTCATTCTCTTAAATTTAAGATAAATTTAGAACTTCTACAGATAATTATTATTAAAATTTTGGCAAAAATTGATAGGGCTTTGTTATTGAATTACAAATATCAGTCGTAAGAATTGTATAATTTTAGACTGATTATATTATATTTTATGAAATTGAAAAGCAATTTATATTTATTTCTGAGTATTTAAAAAGGGTCTAACAATATTATTTGTTTCCAATTTATGAGAGAGTTTTATTAGATTCCTCACCAAATTTATTGGAAGATATTAGATGGATTAATTCATCAATAAAGTAATAGTTTATCAAATAATTAGTTTTTACCATTAGTAATGATTCCTTTAACTATGCTGAAATAAGAACACCCATCATAACGTTAAAATTTCTTGAATCCTCAGTAAAATAAGAAATCTATACAAGATCAGACTGAAATTATTCTACCAAAACAAACCCATTATTTAATGAAAAAATTGAGGTTTCATCTTAAATTAACATTTCTGCATTTATTGATTTATTTAATTTTATATTGCTAGATAAATTATAAAGTTGTAGAGATTGAGAATTATTTAATNAATATATGAATTACAGCTATGAACAAATTAAGGATATCTGATAATATTATGTAATTTAATATGATATACATTGCTACTCAATTTTATTTAAAAATAAAATATCAAATCGTTTTGATATAAAAGTAAAAAGTTAAACTCTAGCTCATTCTCTTAAATTTAAGATAAATTTAGAACTTCTACAGATAATTATTATTAAAATTTTGGCAAAAATTGATAGGGCTTTGTTATTGAATTACAAATATCAGTCGTAAGAATTGTATAATTTTAGACTGATTATATTATATTTTATGAAATTGAAAAGCAATTTATATTTATTTCTGAGTATTTAAAAAGGGTCTAACAATATTATTTGTTTCCAATTTATGAGAGAGTTTTATTAGATTCCTCACCAAATTTATTGGAAGATATTAGATGGATTAATTCATCAATAAAGTAATAGTTTATCAAATAATTAGTTTTTACCATTAGTAATGATTCCTTTAACTATGCTGAAATAAGAACACCCATCATAACGTTAAAATTTCTTGAATCCTCAGTAAAATAAGAAATCTATACAAGATCAGACTGAAATTATTCTACCAAAACAAACCCATTATTTAATGAAAAAATTGAGGTTTCATCTTAAATTAACATTTCTGCATTTATTGATTTATTTAATTTTATATTGCTAGATAAATTATAAAGTTGTAGAGATTGAGAATTATTTAATATACATATTGCATTATTTAAATATTAACATTTATATCTATTGGTAACTTTGAACGGACTTTAAAGAGTAAAAGCAGTATTATTTATCAATTAAATTTCATTTAATTATCCTAGTGCATATTAATTTGGATTTATTATAGCTTAATCATTCTTGATTACAATTTTTAAATTATTTTGATTGATTAATTTTAAATTAAATTAAGAATTAACCAACATTAAATTTAAGTTCTCTTGATAATTACAATTCTAAAGTTAAGAATGACTTATATTTATTTTGAATTCTAAATAATAAAATATTTAATTAAGTTCTTATAAATAAAAATTAAAAATAAAATATCTCAGCTATTTTTCAATTAATCCTTAATTATTATAATAATAAAGAATATCTTATTAAATAGAAAAGTATTTATAAGGTGTAGAAACTATTTCATAATAATTGAAATTTTATTAATTTAACAAATTAAATAATAAGAGATGATATAAAGTTGGATCTTCTTATAAAGTTACGATTATGAAATGATTTTATTAAATCTAATAGTGTAGAGGTTTAATTGGAAAATAGTCTGTAAAGGTGAATGTTGAAATTAGATAATAATTTGACTTAGTGATTAAATATTTATATATTGTATTCATTTCATTATCTATTGCTAATAATATTAATTGTAAAGATCTACTCTTCTATGTGAATCCTCCCAATAAATTTAATTTTTTATTTATTACTAAATATAAATAATAAGATACTCAAATAAATTAGATTTGATTATTGAATAAGTAAATAGGATTCAAATTAAAAAATTATTGTGTTTTAAAGTATTAAAACCTTAATAGCTTCATCAAAATTCTGAAAGAAAATATTGTCAAATATTGAAAATTGATGAATTGAAAAATTCATGAATCTAGCTTCTTCTGGAAATTCAAAATATACTTATGTTGAGTTTACTAATTAAATAATTAATACATTTTTAAAGATACAAGAAATTCTAATTTATTCTTTGAATTAATGAATTTTATAAGTAATTTATTTATCTGACTAATTTGAGAGATCAAAAATAATTATTTTTCCTTAAGTTTCTTAAATCAAAATAAAACGCAAATTATCTACGTAATAATATGTCTATATGGAATTTAGATCAATTTTAATATTATATTTGACAGATCTAGAAGAAATGCAATTATAAATCACTAGTGATAAATTTTCATCATTAAAAAGTATGTAATTTTTGGACTTTTTCTTTAAAATATAAAATTATCTCAAATTGCTCTATTTTGTTCCAAATGATTAACATGAATCTTTATTTTCAATTTAAAGTTTATTTTAAAATTCAAAAGGAAGTGAAAAATTTAAGTTGATATTTTTTTCTTAAATAAAGCTTAACTTTTCGATAAAAATTTTATTATCAAATGTATCATCTATCTTTAAAAGATAATTTTTATTTCTAAAATTTTTTATTTCATTTTATAATCTTTGTTATTCATCTTCATATTTATGAATCTAAAAGCATTTCAGAAAAGATGATTCAAAATATTTTACTTTAAAAAATCCTACATAATTTTGATTTTATTAATTAGAATACTATATTTAGAATATATTTGTTTTATATAAACTTAACTTATTCTATTGATCAATTATGAAAAATTAAATATTATCTCTTAATAAAATTATTTAATGAATCTCAATATTAATGATTTATTTTATATCACTTGCTAAAATAGCAATTAAATGATCAGAATATTAAAGCAAAATAATTGAATTTTCTAATAGGAAGGCCTCCTTAAAATTAATAGAAGATGCAGCAGAAATAATGATATCTTGAATTTATTAGGAAAAACTTTGTTGATATAATTTTAGAGAAATTTAACAGTGTAATATTTATTTGTTTGAGATCTAGTTTAAGAATTTGTATTTGATGTCTCTAAATGAGTTTTTTAAGTCGATTTATATATAATTTAATTAAAAATTTAGAAGCAGTTGGTCTTAACAATACTTTATGTCTTATAAATACTAATAAGCATTCATATCATTTTCTTCTACTCTAATCTCTGAGATTGTAATTCTTTTCAAAATTTACATTTATGAATCAAGAATAATAATTTCCCATTATAAACATTAGTATAATGAAACTATAAAATATTAATCCTTTGAATTTGTAAACTTAGTTTTGCATTCTGGATTTGAAATATTGATCTTTTGTATTTACTAATTACCTTTCATATCAAGAGTAATAATTATAAGATGATCATTGTTTAGGCAAACAATATAAAAATGATTGATAATAAATAAAAAGCTGTGGCATAATTGATTTTCTTCATAAAAGATTGAAAATGAAAATTCATATAATAGATTAAATTCAATTTTACCATCTATAAATAGTTGCTTGATTTCCTTTGTACAATATATTTAGTAATCATGATTTTGCTTATATTATATTAAAGAACATAAATGCAATTGATCTTAGAATTAAATGTTTTAGGTTTAAAGAATCAAAATAGATTAAGGCAAGTATTCTTACTCATAAATTAAGTTAAGAAAAGTTTAATTCCATTTCTCATTAAATAATCCTTCAAAATTAGTTGAAGTTTTTTGAATTACATTAAATTCTTACAAGGTTTGAATGTAGAAATTGCCATTTTCAGATAATCCTATATTTTCACATTCAAAATCTAAGGTTTGAATCTAAAAATCAGAATATTTAGTAAGGCTTCGTAAAATTATAGCTTTTGTAAATACAATAAAAAAAGCAATATAAATCATTATAATTATCTCATTTAAAAAATATTTTATATATATAAATTTTCTCTTAGTTGCTTTGTTATTTATTTTAGTTGTAAATAAAGGAAATGTGATTGATTAAAATTTATAAATAATACTAGATATGTGAATATTCAAAAGGATTATATAAGATGATAAAACATATATGCTAAAATTTTCAGTAACATAAATATATAAAATAATTAATAATATGTAACAAAAATTACGATTATATACATACTTTAGGTCATCAACTTCACAAAGAATAAGAATTATATTAAACTTAAAAGAAATTGATTATGAGCCAAAATTCATAAATCTATTACAAGGCGAGCATAAATCAGAAAACCATAGCTAAGAATTACCAAACCAAGTGAATTTTATATTTCTATTATTTTTAGGCTGTTCCAGCTTTACATTTATAAGATGGAACAATTTTAATAGAAAGTATGGCAATTGCAGAATATTTGGAAGAGATCTATCCTGAAAAGAAACTTCTTCCACAAGATCCTGTTTTAAAGGCTAAGGTTAGGTAATATGATTAATTAATTATGATAAGAGGCTTTTGTGAACTTATTAATTCTGGAATGCATCCATATTAAAATTTAATAATGTTTGAGTGGATAGAAAAATATGTAGAAAAGTTTGATCGAGTTGAATTCGTATAAAATATGTTGAAAAGTGAATTTTAAAGTATGCCATTATAATCTATATGATAAAAGCATTGGAAAAATTATTATTGTAGAATCATGGAAAATATTCTTTTGGAGATGAGATCACTTTAGCTGATTGTTTCTTAGTTCCATAAGTTATGGGAGCAATTGCAAGATTTAAATTGGATATTTCATTATTTCCAACAATTCAAGAAGTATACAATAATTTGAAAGATTTACCTTCATTTTATAAAGCTCAACCAGATTAATAGCCTGATTTTAAATGAAATATGAGTTATTAATTATTTATATAATCAAATTATAAATAATCAAATTCTGATTCTAATTTAATTATTTCCTTAAAAATATTAAAACTAATATTTTTAGAAAAATAAAAAAGTTTAGATTGGTTTTATCAAATAAACTATAAGAAGCTCACTACTTAGAATTATTTGGTCTTTTAAAAGAAGAAAATGTTTAAGTATCTAATTAATCTGATGCTCCAAAATCTATAACCACTAAATCTGCCTGTTAATTAAGCAATAGCAGATTATGAAATGAAAATGGGTAATTTTAAAGAAGCTATTAAATAATTTTAGTATGTTAGACAGAAAAGATAAGAAAGAGAATCTCAACCATCAATAAGTTTTTAAGAATAAAGTAATTTGTTATTATAACATCCGAGAAAATAAGAGTGCTGAAACAGATATAAAAGAAGCACTTAAATTTTATCCTTTAGATACTAAACTATATTGCATTATAGGCTGAGATATTTGAAGCATAAGGCAAATATGAGGAAGCAGAATAATTTTTGAATAAATTTCATAAAGATATTTTAAATGATCCAGTTATATTAGATGCAAATGGTAAGGTATATCTTTATTAATTGAAATATACACAAGCTGAAGCAGTATTTAAATAAATTAAAGGAGTAGAGGCTTAACTAGGATATGCTTAGTCATGTTTAAAGTAAAAGAAATATACTGAAGCTATCAAAGAATATCAATAAATACTATAGTAGAATCCTAAAAATTTGAATGCATTAAATAGTTTGGGTATTTATTATTTGGAAACTTAAAAATAGGATGAAGCAAAGATTCAGTTTGATAAAGTTTTTTAATAACAAAAAACTGATACAATTGCTTTAAGTAATATAAGTATAAATAGAATTAGAATTGGAATAATAAAATAAGGATGGTAAATAAGAATAACATTTAAATGAAGTTATAAGGATATGTGAAATTGTTACAAAATCATCAAATCCTTTTAAGAGAGCAGTAAATTTTAATCGTTTAAGAAAATGTTAAAAGAAGTACGATAAAGCTTTAGATGCATTTATAAATAGTGTAGCTGCTGAATCAAAATTTGTATTTGCATGGTCAAATAGAGCATAAGTGGAATTATAAATAGATAAGTCAGGAGAATCTTTAACAAGTTTAATGGGTTTAAAAATAGCATAAATTAATCGAGGTTGCAAATCAAGATAGATAAGATAATAAATAAGTTAGTAAGTAAGCTGAATAATTTAATTTTTAGTTTTATATTATAGCTCGAGATAGTGGTTGTTGTATAACTTACTGAAAGTATCAATATTATGAAATTGTTAAGTTTTTACAATATATAAATTAAAATCATATTTATATTTATAATTATAAGTGTTAATCTTTATTTATTTTATCTGATATAATCATTTTAATAATGGAGTGAGATTAAATATAATCTAAATTGAATAAATAAATACAGTAGGTAACTTTTTAATAATCTAATAAAAGTCTTAAATAAGATTATTATATAGAGTTTTTTTATTTATAAAAATGGATTAATGGAATGAATTTCTTTAAGATACATTTGCAGGTTCAATTGGAGGAATTACATTTGTTTTAAGCGCACATCCATTTGAGTAATAATTAATATGTGATTGTAGCACAATTAAAGTAAGAATGTAGATGGTTTCTGAAAATACATCAATTCTTAAAACAGCCTATAAAATATTTAAATATGAAGGAGTATTATAATATATATAAATATTAGCCTTTTGCTTTCTATAAAGGAGTTGTATCACCACTATTATTTAGTTTTCCAGTTTCGGCAACATTGTTTGCATGTTACGAATAATATATGAGATATTTCTAAGTGGATAGAGATTCATATTAAATAATGCATTGTATATCTAATTCATAAAGTAGGGGGTGTTGGTGGAGCTTATGCTGGATTTATATAGAGTTTTGCAACAAGTCCATCAGAACTATTTAAGATTGTATTCCAAATGTAAATCTCAGAAAGAAAGCGTAAATCTGTTCTGAGATGTATGTTTGAGTTTGTCAATAAGGAAGGAATAGCTGCTGTCTTTAAGGGAGTTAATTCAACCATTTTCAGAGATATCCCTTAATATGCAACATTCTTTATAGCTTTTGAATCTACAAAATAGTATATACAAAATTAGAAAGGATATTTAAATATATTCGATCAATTTATAGCTGGAATAACTGCTGGCTTAGTTTGCATTAGTTTTTCTTATCCTTAGGATATTGTTAAAACCAAAATCTAATATGAAATCCTTGAATCTAAATAAAATCGAAAGTATATAGGAATTGATGGTGGTATATCAAAGTGCATTAAAGAAATATATAAAGATGCAGGTTTTAAGGGTTTTTGGCAAGGATTCAATAGTTGTGCAATCTATTATATGGTAGCATGTTCAGCACAATTAGTTGGGTATTAGTTTTAAACATTCATAGATATGAGTAAGGTCGAATCTTTTGGGATACTTACCTTAAATATTGATATTTAATTATTCTATTTACACAGTTAATATTATTTTTAATTATTTTTATGTACACTAATCAATTCTTGATTGGAGATTATTGTGTTTATTATTCAGAACTTTTAGGATAAGGAAGTTATGCTAAAGTGTATGGAGCTAAAAAGATTAGTACTAATTAATCTATTTGTGCCAAAGTACTCATTTTATTAAAAAACAGATTATTAAGATTACTACAGAAAATTTAAAACTGTTAGATAGAGAAATACAAATATTGAATAAACTTAAAGATATTGATAATCACAATTTGATCAAAATTTATGACATTTTCAACTAGAATAGTTTCTTATGTATTTTTATGGAAAGATGCAAATTAAATTTGGCTGAGCATATAGCAGATAATAAACAAAAGTAATAACTATTATCTCTTATTGAAATTATTGATATTTCTAAATAGATTGTTAATGGCTACCATGATCTATATTCACATCATATAATTCATAGAGATCTTAAACCAGAGAATTTATTAATTGGAAAAGACAATAAAATTAAAGTAATAACGAAATAATTCAAAAGATTTGTGATTTTGGTTTTGGAAAAATTGTGAAATATGATAACTAATTAGTTGCCTAATCCATTTTGGGTACTCCTTTGTATGTCTCACCTTAAGCTTTAATGACTGGTTAATATACATCTAAAACAGATGTTTATAGTGTAAATTATATATTCAATATAGTTTGGATTGATATTGTATTTTCTTATTTTTTAGTAATCTTATTATAAAGCTAAGACCTTTGATTAATTAATTTAAAATATTATGGTGTTGGATAAAGAATTTTCGATAGGAGAATTTAAGAATTTTGGAAGTTAAGAAAATATTACTTTATTATAATATTTACTAGATGGATGCATTAAATTTCATGAAAAAGATAGATTTAATTGGGATTAATTATTTAATATTTTTGATTAAATCTCTATACCTTAAAAAAACCGATCTTAATCTAAAAGAATAGTAGAATTAAGATCTTAATCTAATAATAGAAATATTAGTCAAGAAGAGTAGCTTTAAATGAATCCATATGAAAAATTAACATAACATATTTAAATTTAAAATTAAAAACCTCCTTTAAAAGAACATGGAATGAAAGTTTAATTGAGGGCTTTAAAACAAAATTAAATAATTGAGAAAGGCATGTATTAAATTCATCTATATAAGATTAAGTTTAAAGTGGAACTTAAAGTTAAAATGATAAAAATCAAACTATGATTAAGGAGGAATCACCTCAAAAAACATATTAAAGAATAACTTAAACTCCATAATTAAATAAAAATCAATAATCAAATTATTTTTCTATTAAGAATAGATCCAAAAAATAAAGAAGAACATCCTCTAATGAAAAAGAAAGACCCAGTACAAACTAAATCTTTAATATTTAATAATTAAAGTAAAATAAGTAGGAAATATAATCAAGTAAATCAAAATTGAAATTTTAATTGAGGCCATTCACTGATATTTTAGAGAATAAAGTCAAAAAAACAAATGATGAATAAATATGTAGGATAGAATAATAAAAATTAAACAATCAATTGTAAAATTAAATTGTTGAATAAACAATTTAACCAAATATTACAGAATAGTAAGATAAGAAAACTATTTTAAATAATTATTTTAAATAAAAATTAGATTCTAATTCTGAATAAAATTATAATAGTGAATAAAATGATGATAAAAATGTAACTAAGTATAAAATCTAAGAGTTGAATTTTGATTATAATAAAATAAGAGTTTTAAAATAAATTTTTAAGGGAATTTTAGCAAAAATATAATTGGCTGATAATTTATTACAATCATAACGTAAATTAAATTAGATCTTAGAATATAGATAAGATATATTTCGTTATCTGATAGTTAATTATTAATAGTCAGTTTTTTTAAATCTTATTTCAATAAAAAATAATGAAATAAAGAGAGAGTAATACCCTTTATAGAATTAATTGATAGAGTTTATAGAGCCAATTAATTATTTTTAAGATGAGGAGTTTGAGTTGTAGATGAATAATTTAAAAGAGACATTATAAAAGTTAGATTTAAAAAATTAAGTATCTATTTATTTAAAGATAAGTTAGCATTCTAATAACTGAATGATATATTATAGAGTAAAGAGAAATATAATTTAGAAGATATTTTTGAATTAATTAGAACAAAAGATATAAAATATAATTTTGTAAGAATTATAGAATGTTATTGCAATCATTACTAAGAATTTTTGGAATAGCTTAAGAATGATTAGAATTAGTTAAAATCAAAAGAATTGTTGATGTAAATTTTGAGATTGAGTATAGGTTCTTAGGATATTCAACAAAATTCATAGAGAGTGAAAGTGTTTACTCAATAGAAAATTTGAAAATCATAAATATAGATGAGATTTGTAATTAGGAAGAGAATTATAAGAATATAGTAAAGATGATTAAAGAGAATTGGAAGAAAAAGGAAAATGTTTGATTTTATATTAATATTATATTAATTTTAAATGGAATTTAATTACGATGAAATTAAAGAGAAACTTAAAGGTTACGATATGGAGACAAAGATTTAATTAATTGCATTAGCCTAGTGTTTATATGATAGAAAGAAGTTGGATCATGAATAAGATGAAGAATTAGACAAGATGGAAGCAGATTATAAGAAAAGTGTAGAACCTTTGATTGAAGCCTCAAATTAAATAATTTAAGGATAAAGATTGGTAAAGGAGGAGGAGATAGAAGATTTGAAGGAATATTTAAATGGTTAAGAATAAGCAATATTGGATAATTAAGATCCAATAGAAAATTATTGGTCAAAAGTGTTATTGAATTCAAAGACATTAAAGAATGAAGTAATTGGTGATAAGGATGAACCGTTGTTGAAAGCAATAAAAAATATTAGAGGATATGAAGATAAGGTATAACATAAGTTAGGATTGGTATTTTAATTTAAACCAAATGATTATTTTGGAGAGGAAGAATTAAAAGTGGAATTTTTATTAGATGAGAAATAAGGAGAACCATTGAAAGTAGAGAGTACAAAAATAAATTGGAAGGAAGGAAAGAATATTTCAGTAAAGATTGTTAAGAAGAAAAATAAATAGAAGAAGAAAGTAAAGGAAGTAGAATAGAAGACATTATTTTAATTATTTAAAAATTTGGATGTAAAAGATTGGGAGAAATTGGAAGAAGAGAAAAAGGAAGAATAATAATCTAAAATGGATATGTGTTATGATATTTGTAGATTGATTTATGATGAAATATTACCATATTCTTTGGAATACTATTTAGATGTACATGTAGAAGATGAAGATTATGAAGGTGATGATATAGATGATGATGAATCAGATGATGAGGAAGAATTAACAAAAGAAGAAGCAATAAAAAGAATGAAAGAGAGAAGAGGATTTAAAAAGTGATTTGTATAGTAATAATTATGTTTCAGATAATATTCGTTTTTCTGTTTTTTTATTTTGGTTGTATTTGATTAATATAATAAATGAAATCAGCTTTGTTGGTTGTTGTTTTGATTGCCTGTATGTAGGCAACAACAGTTTCTGAATTAAAGGAAAGACTTTCAGGATATGGAGATCATCCTTTTGGATCATCTATGATAAATTTAGTAAGTGTTAACATGAAAACAGGAGGATCATTGAATGAATTAAAATAGCTTTTATAATAAATTAAGGATGAATTGATAGCCTTAACTTAATTGTAAGATTAAGAAAATGGTACTTTTACAAGAAGAAGTTAAGTTGATTTAGCTAAACTCTAAGCTACTCTTGAATAAGCTTAATAAGATCTTGATAATTAAAGATAAGAATAATCCAGTTTGAATAATGAATTAAGTACATTATAAACAAGAGTTAGAGAAGGTATTAATCATTTTTATTATTTATATAGATTAGGCTGCTTTAGACCGTAATTCTAGAGGAAGTGGTGATGCATAATCTAGATTAGATGCTGAAAATACAGATTTCGCTGCTAAATTCTAAGATTATAGTGATGCTATTCTTGCATGCAAAGAAGCACAAAGATTACTTATGAATTTAAGAGGGGAAGGTGCATCATTAATTTAATTGACGTATTTATTATATATGATTATTAATTATTAGCTAAGATACAAAGAGTAATCTCATTTAAACTAAGGAGAATTTCTAAAAGATTAAAGAAATATTAGAAGCACACACCAAGAAAAGTTCTTTAACTTTGTTCTAACCAATTATTGAAGGATTAGCTGAAATGACAACTAAAGTCAATCCAGAAACATTGAATAATGTTTTAAGTCTTGTTGCTAGATTAATCACTGCATTATAAGAAGGATAAGATTAATTAGAAGCTAATCATAAAACTTAAGTTGAAAATCTTACTAGATTGGGTGATGATTTAAGAAATGAAAAACAAACATTATAAGTTTCTTTAGCTACTGCTAATAATAGACTTAAAGAGATCTAATCAAGATTAAATGAATTAGATGGATTAATTAATATTTCTAATGCTATTGTTGAAGTCACTTAATTAAATATCTAAGATGCTACTAGAATCAATGAATTAGAAGATCAAGAATATAGTAACTAAAAAGTCAGCAGGTATTCTCTATTATTTTAATCTAGATAAACCGAAATTGACATCGTTGATAGATTAATTGAATACATCAACCAAAAGTTATCTGAATGATTTATTCATAATAATCAGGCATATTTCACATTATCTTAATGTACATTTAAATATCTAAAAATCCATCTTCTCTTTTATTCTATTTCTACCTCAAAAATCTAACTTTTACCTTCTTTTTTATTCATACATTAAATTGCATTTTCATTAAATTTTTAATTAATCTCATTATATTAACCCATTTTAAAATAGATGAAACCTTAAATTACTCTAATTTTTAAATTGATAAAATACATTAATTATAATGTTATTTTCAAAGTATTAATAACATCCTTTAATCAAAAATAATAAACTTGTCTCATTCTTAGAATTTAGAATTTATTTCCTGGCATACATCAAAAATTTTTATCTAATCCTAAATATACAAATTAATTAAATTTAGTGATGCCATTCTTAAGTAATTATCCCATGAAGACTTAATTACTAACATACTCTACTATCTTTATTATTGTAGTTTCAGTTTTAACATATCTAACAGGTTATGTTGGAGGTCAATATATAATTCAAGATTTTTTGAGCTAATCTGATATAATCTATTAGAGACTTAATTCAAATAAATCTAGCCTTACAAACTATTATTTAAAGTATTTTAATTCGTATTTTGAAATAAGTAATTTCAATTATCACTATATAGACTCTAATCCACTTATTATCCTAAATAAATTATATCTGAATTATTTTGGTAATTTAATAGCAGCATCTGAAATAAATATAAATAATTATGGAGGAATCAAAACACTACCTTCAGTTTTAGAGGATAAAAAAAATAAGAAATTTTCAAATTCAATATTTTGTTATGCATTTAAGCAAGAATTTTAAACATAAAATACTGAATCGATTAAAGAAGTGATTTTTGCTGATTTTCTTGGACCTCTTGGATAAATTATTCATTCATAATTCGATTAAAATAAGCCATTGCTATATGGTTATATAACAAAAAGTCCAAAGATACTATATTCATATCCATGTTATTCATATGGTGAATCTTTCGAAGATTATTTACCAGAAACAAGACCATGGTTTAAATTAGCATAAAATGCATCAGAAAAAATAATAGCAAATTTAGAGTATGAATATTTAGTTTCAGATCCATATTTATGTAATAAGCTATAAAATATCAAAGTTAATTAAGCTAAATAGATTGGAATTACTTTATCTTTGCCAGTAATTGATAATCAATTGAAGTTTAGGGGAGCTTGGTGTATGGATATTTTTCCTGAGTATCTAATCTTTATGACAGAGAAAATGACATCACAATTTAAAAGCATGAACATTATTATTTTGAGCACAGATGGAATGATTATAAAAGATGATGATAGCAAACTTTCATATCCAGTTTACTTTTATAATGAAAGCATAACTGGATTTAATTTATAATAGTGGCAAACATTAAAAGAAACTGATTTTGAAGAATATCAATTTGATAATACTTTAGAAGAGACTCAAAATAGTATTATTAAATTTTATTTGAAAAAACAATAGCTGTACATATTATTGTATTTTAATAATTATATTTAGATTAGTTTAATAGATTCTAATGAATATATTCACTATCTTATGGATTATAAAAATTAATAGGAATATAAAATAAATGATTTTTTACAATTAACATTGATACTTTTGTTAATGAGTTTTTGTGTTTTGATATTGATGGCATATTTGATAATAACATTTTTCATAATGAAACCAATAGAAGAGATAATTTGGTTTTTTTAAATGAGAGAGAGTAAATCTTTGAAGTAGAAATATCAACAGATGTTAAAGACAAGATTTAGATATAGAAATCATAATTATATAAGTCCAACAATAAGAAAGTTGTAGGAAGCAGCATATAGATTAAATTATTGGAATTTTAAAAAATAGAAACAAAAAAATACGTAATGTAATTTGTTATAATTGTTCTAATTTCCTAAAAATTCACATCGTAATAAGATATGTTTGAAGAGATTTAAATTGTAGGATAAACACAAAGATTTGGAATAATGGGAATTTTTAAAATTAATAAGACAAGATAGTGATTATAGCTGATTTGTTTTACTGCGATATTAATTAATAATAATTATATTTAATGAACAGAGACTTAGAGATGGCTAGATAAGCCTATATGGGAAAGAATGTAGAGATGACAAAGTAAGCCCATAACTATAATCCTTCTGAATAATTATATACTGATAATAGAGTGAATGAGAATGACCCATTATAAAAATTAGGTATTTTGAAGTTATAGAACATTCTATAGATTCTCATTAAGAAAAGCATTCGACAGGTGGTAATTATCTAAGAAGTTCTGTTTTTGGTGGCATGGATGGTATGATGACAACGTTTTCTGTGGTTACTGCTGTAATAGGAGTATATAATTATTCTAAAAACAGGGAAATTTTGGAGTGCAAGCAGTATTAGCATTAGGAGTAGCAAATATGATTGGAGATGGATTATCAATGGCTTTGGGAGATTATTTATCTACTAAATCAGAATAATAGTTTTTTAAATAGGAAAGAGAAAGAGAGAAATGGGAAGTTGAAAATAATTTAGAAGGAGAAAAAAAAGAAATGATTGAATTGTATAAGGTAAAATTAAATTGCTATTGAAATATTAGAAAAAAGGAATGGAATAGGAAGATGCTGAAAAAATTATGAATATTATTAGCAGACATAAAGATGCCTTTATTGATATTATGATGTTAGAAGAATTAGAATTAGGTGGTGCTGAAGAAAATCCATTTATGAATGCTTTAGTAACATTTGTTGCCTTTATATTATTTGGATTAGTCCCAAGTAAGATTTCACCATTATTATTTTTATTATAGTTATTCCATTCATTGTTGCAGCTATTGCAGGATTGACTGATGGCACAACTGATACTTTGTTTTATATATCAATTGCAATGACTGCTTCATTCTTAATTATTTTAGGAGTTAGTAAATCATTTTTCTCATATGCTCCATGGTGGAGATGTGCTGCTGAAACTCTATTTGTAGGAGCTTGCACTGCTGGCTCAAGTTATTTAATTGGTATGGCTTTTGAAGGATAAGAAATTGGTTGAATATGATATTAAATATATTTATAAATTCATTTCTTTTTCATATTACTTTACTTATTCAAATACATCAATATTAATCCTAAAACACTTCCAATTACCAAACCTGGAGCCCAATTGAAAAACCATCTTGGAAAAAAAAACATCTAATATTATTCTCCTAATAAAGGCTCTCCAAATGTTGTTAATGTACCATAAAGAAATGCCACTATTGCTATCAATTAAAATATTTTCCCAAGTAATTAATCCATTTTTATTATATTATTAATAATAAATTAATTCATATTTCTATATTATATCCTATACTAAGTCTTTTACGTGTTTCTTTTTTACGCAATATCACAATTTTACCATTTTTGTCGAAAATCAATCTTCCCTAAAAATCTTCTTCTCTGTTGAAAAACCCATTAAAAATCTCAATTTTTTGTTTAATCTATTTTCACTTGAACTCAACCTGAAATATACACTAAAATCGTATTTCATATTATTAATTTTATAATGCAAAAGGCAATAGGAATTCATTAATTTAACATTCTATATCACACCAATCCAATATATAACTTGTAAGGTTTCTTGAAAGTGTCTATCAAACAATATTGCATTTTATATTTGTTTAAAAGAGATTAAAAAATGTTAAATCTAACATTTATTTTATCTTTTTTGTTAAAATAGTGTTATTTCAATCCAAAATCCAAATTAGAATTATTTCCTTAACTCTAACTGATTTTTATTTGAGGAGTAAAAGTGTGTTTCTACGACAAATCTGTTTTATAGTTGTATTCCAGACTAAATAATACGACATATATTTTAACACTTGATCAAATTAAATTGGTATTGAATTTACTATAATTAATAATCTCATTTACTTTTTAATCCTATGATATGATTTTATAATTATACTTATACTGCAACAAAAACTACTAAATGTCTTTTTATATTTCTAAGTCAATTTTTAGACTATTTTTGCTATATTAAATTAGCTTTTGAATTGAGATAAATCACTCAATTAGATGTTAAATCTATAATAGAAAAATAGTTCCTAGAAGAATCTATTAAAGTAGGGCTTTTCAAATTATAAATATTAATAAAATAACATTAAATTTAATCATTTATAATAAGCGTCTCTTTTAACTTAAGCTATATTCTATTCCAGTTCAGATATTCGATTTGTTAATAATTTTATATGTTCTTCCTTTTTTGCCAATTAATATTGAGTTTCATTTGTGTGAAGAAGCTATTATTTAAAAAATTCAATTTCATTCATTAATTACTAATATAGAAATATTACAAAACCTTTTTTTCTGCTTCATTTTCATGTACATGCTATATTAATAAATGCACTTCATTTTATTTTTTATAAGATAAAATTTTATGATTTCTCAATTCTTCAGTTAATTATTATTGAACCACTTAGTTTTCTAATATTTAATAAATATAATTAACCTTTCAAACCTTGAGATTCTAATTTGATATTCTCTTCTAACATCAAATTTTCTCTCTCTAAATTACCCTTTTTATGTTCAAAATCTAATAATTTCTCCTCTAATTCCATTTATCTCTCCTTTAATTTCTCAATTAACCCAGGATCTTCTCTAAAAGTTTAAGCTAATCGATTTGGTTAACAAGTGCATTTTAAATGTTATTAAGACATACGTTAATAATTATAATTTACGTTTTTTAATGTTATAAATAAATTAATAATGGATTAAGTCAATGCTATGTAGTAATACATAACAAAATTAAAAACAGCTCTTACAGATCTACAATCAAAAAATAAAGATTTAGAATAAAAACTTGATCAAGAACATAAACTAGTTTAATCTTTAGAAGAAAAATTAGAATACACAGAGAAAAAATTATCAAATGAAAAAGAATAAGTTGAAGTATTAGAAATTAAGGTTGATGAATATGAAAAAAAATTAAAAAGCATTTCTGATACAAAAGTATCAATAATTTTATATTTAAGAAACCAAGTTTTTTAGGAAAAGTTTTTAATAATTCTTAATTAGATTAATTGACTATTAAAATAAACTAAGCTGAATAATCATTAGATTTATAAATTTAAGAGAATGAAAAATTACATGCTTAAGTATTCACCCTTAAAACACAATTAGATTTATTAGAAAATAAGTTTGAAGAAGAATAAAAATTAGCTCAATAAAAATTCTCGAAATTAAAGTCTTATTATCAATAAGAAAAACTTAAAAAGGAAGATCTAGAAAAATAAATTTAGTAATTAAATCTAGTGCAAACTGGATTAAAATATGAAATTAATCAACTGAATCAATAAATTGATTAGTTAAAAAAAGATATCGATAATAAATAATAAGAGTTCTTGTCTACTCAATAATTACTTGATAAAAATTATGATGATATGAAAAAGTTGACTCAAGACCTCATTAATCAATAATAAGATATGTATATATTTAAACTAAAAATAGCCGATAATTAAAATAGGAAAAAGATGAGTTCTAGAATTTTGTTCAAGAAATTTAAAATTTTGTCACAGGATTGTCTATTGATTAATAATATTAAGAGTTATTTAGTAGTTTAAGTGAAATAATTTAAAGGATACATAAGCCAACATTTGGAAAGGAATTATTCTTACAAGCAAAACCAGGTAATTATGAGATCTTTAAGTTGGCTTAAGAAAAAATACTAAAACTAGGAAAAAAAGTATTAGTTCATAAATATCATAGAATGAACAATTAATTAAGTAGAATAAATTATTATAAGATAAATTATAATTGTAAAAGACTAAGTAAGAATGAAATTAATATATCTATTAATAAAAGAGAAAGTAGTATTTATAAAATTTCATTTGATTACTTTTAGTGGTTGTCTTTTACACATTTCTGCAAGTTTATTCTTTAAGTTGATGGTACTAGATTATTCGGGACTCTTACTACTAAAGAAATGTTTTAATGATCTATTATTTAATGAAAAAGATACATTTTAGAATCTTAGTTCATTTATGATGTACTAGTTTAATTTTATTATTTGAACATGTCTTATTTCATTTTTGTAAATTTGTTGAGATAATAGTTTTGAGTTCTGCTTTTTTATCCATTAAAGCTTTACGACATAATATGGCTTTGATTATTTGAGGATAAATTTATATATTATCTTGATGTATTATTGTTGTGTTATGAATATTATGATCTTTTAGCTACAGATTTTCGAATAAATGAAATAATTTATTCATTTGTTTGTTTTTCTATTGATTTATTCTTTTTTAGTGCATCTATATAGCTAACTTGATTTTCATCATACTATTCTGTTTTATATCGAGTTGACTATCTATTGCCTTTCATAGATTTATCAGACATGATCTTAATCAATGATTTAGCTTTTATAGATTCTTTAGATGATTGTAAATGTTTGCTGTTAGTTTATTTTTTTTAATATTATTAGCGTAGATCATATGTACCTACTTTTTATAGTTCTTCTAATGAACTGTCATTACTTTGATCATAATATTCATATGGAAATCGATACTCATTGTTATGACGAGCCATCTTAAACTTTTATTCCACTTCCTATTAAAATTTACGTAACTGCTATCTTTAATCTTCATCATCTGTTTGAGGTTTACTTGATATCTTTTTTAAACATTGTAGTAATTATTCTTGCTTCTTTTTAACTACTTAATCCATTTTTATTATTTTTTAATATTTTGGGAAAAATGAATTAAAGTTTTATTTTCATCAATGCACTATTTTATTTTCTAAATTTGTGATTTTAATCTAATTACGATATATTATAGTATGATATAATAAAAGATCCCTAAGAAATAATTCTAATTATATATTAGTTAACTTTGGCAAGTGAGAATATAATAAAAAATATTAAAAATAATTAATTTTATATATTTTATTTTGCATATATATAATCTCAATCTATTTTTGTCTTCTTACTTATTACTTCAATTTCATCATCATAGTCAACTAATTTTTTTAAAGGTTATTTATGTAGATTGGTACTATGACCTTAGACAGATTTGAATAAATCAATTTCATCATCAACAACATTATAATTTATTTAATGCTATGGTTTCGACTCTGAAGCTAAATTACTGAATTAATTCTTCAAACAGTTATTTTTAATGGTTTTGAAGATGTCTTGGATTTTTTAATAATTAGAATGCTATTCCCATTACTTTAATTCTTATTCCTAAAAATAAGAGAAATTTATTTTACAAGTTATCTAATTATATTTTGATTGCCTCCTTCATAAATGATCTTTATTATTTCTAATAATTGTGAAAATATTAAATTTTCTCTTAAACCTTTATATACAAGAAGTGGAGATATCAAATTAGGTAATGCCATAATAATTTATTTATTTAAGTCTTCATCTCTTTATAAAATCATAATTTTAAAAAATTGCAAACATTTAGTTTGTAAAATTTTATTATTTTCTTATAAAATAAATCCAATTTTGAAAGTAGTTTAATTTAAAATCAAGACTTCTTTTACAGAAGTTTTTAAATTTCTAGCTAAACCCAAAGAAATTTCAACAAATTATGTTTTTTATTCAACTTTAAATTCTTAAGAATTGTATTGTGATAATTTAGGATAAAATTATGATAAGAAGCAATTAAGAGTATCATTTTGTTCATCTGAAGTGTTATCGATTAACAATTTTAAAATTTCTAGATATAAATCATTTTTGAATGCATTTTCAACAATTAAATTAAATAATGGATATTTGAGTACTTATTAATGTTCACTGATAATATATTTTCTAAAATTGATAGGATAATTTTATAGACAAGAAATAACAAGTTCTAATATCATGGTAGGTATTTTTAATAAAATTTCATCCTAATTTAAAATGAATTAGATTACTTAGATTTTTAATTTCATTTTTTTAAATTTAGATTTTTGTTTTTAAAAACCTTAAAGTGAATCAACTAAATAATCTTCAATAATTTCATATAATCCATACTCTCCTAATTTTTAATAAATAACAGTTTTATTTAGCTAAAAATAATAAGAATTAATATTAACATCTTAGAATTCTTTAAAAACTGAACATATTTCTATAAGAAATTTTAAAGCTAAGAAATTGAAATTTCTGAATTGATCAATAAGGTCAATAAAAAATTCTTTAGAATTTTCAATGTATTTTAAGAGATCCATATAGCAACTCTTAATAATCTATCATGATTTTTATTACTTAAAACTATCTTAATTAACATCAACTGGCACTCGTCGATGTAGTAGGCTAAACCACAATCGCGCAAGTACTACAGTCGATATATGAAGTGAATGGTTTTCAATCGCTCTTTACTCTTAATTTGGACTACTTGTAAAAATTGTGCATTCTTCTCAAAAAATTATCGATGTGGTACAAAATTCTTTTTTGTCATTTCTTCATCATCTATAAAATTATAATTTTAATATATACATTCTAAAGCTCCAAAAATGAATAAGTAATATTAATCACTTAATAGAATTTGAAATAATTCATGCTCAGAAACAGTTACAATCTAAATAAAAAATTACAATTTACATTTTTAACAATTTAACACATTATTTATAATAATCCTTGATTATTATTTTATTCTAATTTATTAAATTAAATAATCAACATATCTAAATAATCCTATTTTCATTTTATTTATTTACTTTTTTATTTAGTAAATAACTTGACAAAATTTATTTTGCTTAATTACCACTTTAAACTAATTTATTCATAGTTTCTAAGATAAGAGGAAGATTATTTTCATTAACAGGAGTCAAAACTATAGATTCATCATCATCTTCTTCATTCAAAATATTTTGAATTTTATTCCAAACATTTTAAGCTCCTTATTTGCTTTGAAAACTAAGTGCATAATAATCATTAAATTAAAATTAAATTGCTTCCTCTAAAAATAAAAAAAATGAGTTTTACCTTCATCAAATGTAAAATTATATTATTAATTTACTGAAACAGCAAACACTTCCATGCTTGTCTCTTTCTCTATAAGTATCATTTCATTCTAAATTATTAAATCATATTAAGAACTTTTGAATTAAAATTAATATATCCTGTATTCATACAATCCCATCTATCTTCGACTAAGTAATGCAATTTACACAAATAAATTTCAGAGTTTTGTTTCATTTTATATTTTAAATATTAAATCTTAATTTATCAAAAAACAATCATTTAATTAATTGCATACTCATTTTCCAATTCACAAATCAATCATCTTTTCTATTGTTAAAGATTGCATCAATAACATCAACCTCAAATTCTCATTTTCCTAATTTTATTTTATATCATTTAATCCATAATCTTCATACCCCATTTAATCAAAACTTTTTATTTTTTCTTCAATCATACCTTTTCTTTTTGTAAGTTCTTTCTATAACTATTTTATTGAATTAGGTACAATATCTGCTAACTATTTTTAAATCTATTGATTAATTTATACAATCATCTATCCTAAGAATTAAAATTCATCTCTTATGAATTTCTAAATAAATTTGTTTGAATATATACTTTCATTTTATTATATTCTGATAATTCATATTTAATATTTCTTTGTTCTTTCTACCCTTATAATTATGCTTATAAAGCCTCACAATTTTCCTAAAGTTTCAATATTTACTATCTATAATTATTACATTCAAGTTCTATTGAGGATATTAATCTTTCATATTAACAGTTTTAATTGATGATTTATTATTGTTGTATTTTATTCTCTTATAATAGTGTATAATATTGTCCTTCTATATTCTTTAATTAATCTAATTAACATTTAATTTAATCATTCTCATTTATTAAAATCTAATTTTATTCTATAACATTATCTAGATTTTTGTTTATTTCCTTAATTCTTTGATTTAATATTAAATAAGCATCCTCATTCTAAATTTTATCTTAAAGATCCCTAATTAATTAGTTCTTTATAAGTATTTCTTACTCTAACTCATCAATAATATTCTTCTACTTTTCCTATTATTTTTAATCAGGTATTTTTGATATTAATTATTATATTATTACTTATTATTCTTCTAATAATTTGTTTTTTTTTGGAGTTTCTAAATGAAAGGGAGATTTTGATTTTGAATTTATTTATGTTTTAAATCTTTCTCTTTATGTTGATAAATTTGCTGATGATAATGATTGATTTGCTATTTTTGGATTATTTTCATATTCTATATTACCTGATGTTTTCACTCCAAATGATAACCTAAATGATTATTAAGATTTAACATCATTTAATGTTTAAATTTAATTTTTGAGAATCTAAACTTAGTTTGATAGTATATTTTAATTATGTTGCTATTACAATTATAAGATTATTTATTGAATTATATTTTATGTATCTGTTATTGCTTTTTTGAATTTTTATTAGCTTGAAATTGTTGTTTGTTCTGTTTTTTAATTTTCTAATAAAGATCTTAAATTTTGAATTTAACTTCTTTAATATTGATGATCTATTGATCTTGTTGTGTCTTAACCATTGACATTTATTTCTTATATGATTAAGTAAATAAAATATTTTAAAGAAATCAAATCTGTGCATCTATAAAAATCAAAACATTCATTAAAATGTTAATCACAAAATTATTTAACTTTAGCCATAATTTTATCACCATCTTATTATTTGTGAATTTAAAATTCTCTTAATTTTTTCGTAAAATTTTATATTTTTACATTTAAAGTTGGAATAGTAGGAATTTTACAGCTTAATATACTCTACTTATTATGAGTAGTGGAATTTACAGATGGAGAATTGTCCAATTTCTTAATATTTTATTAAAGTTTGTTTATAATGGATTCATAATAGAGATTTTTTTTAAATTCTTTAGGGGATATATTTGCAGTAGTTTTAGAAGTGTTTGTTGATCTATTTTCACTTACATGATTGCTATTTATATTTTTAACTCTCAATTCTAATGATTTTATTTTTGTTTGTAATTGATTTGATGATTATTAAAATTCAGAATAATTACTAAGGTTTTTAAAGGGTTTTCTGCAATCGCGAGAGGTGGACTTTGGAGAATTCGGAGTTTGAAATAATTACATCTAAGTTAGTTTGTATTTATTTTAACAGAATATATAATAATGATAAAAATGATTAATTTCAATTTAATTTAACTTTCTTAGAAGCAGAGGATTCAGTATCACTTTAAAATTATTCTAATTATTTAAGAATTTCTTATGCAAATTATTCATCAGATTCTAAACATTACTATTTAAAGACTTTTATACACTAGGAAATAGAGTAGATATTTTACTTTGAGAATGTTATTATTTTATAGTTCAATTTCTTCATTAGCAACTAAAAGTTCTTGAATTTGTTTAAGAATTAAATCATTTTCTCTACTTGTAAGTGCACTACTTTATTCAAGTTCTTTGAGATAAGCTTTTTTTCTATCTCTTGAGTTTTAAGCCGAAATTCGATTTCTTATCATTTGTATCGTTTTTTTATCACTACAATAATTATAAGTGATACTGATCGCTATTATCTTCTACAAATTGTTTTTCAGCACATTTAATAGGTTTTCTACCTCTTTTTGCCTTTTTTGGTTCTTAGGGTTATTGATTAGAATAGAGATGAGGTTGTAAAATTTACATACGGAATTTAGCTTTATCTCTATAAAATTTTCTTTTAGCTTTAAGCATCATGGATTCAAATTCAATAGGTTTATTATGAGCAATCCAATCAACATAATCTTCATTTAAGTTGAGAATTGAAGAAACAATTTAACAAAGATTGGAATTCTCATAAGTAATAAATTGAGGTTGTTCTTCATAATATTGAAATTATGAACATTCCTCCTATTTTACAGATGATAAATCATCTTAGTCTTCAATGATTCCTGTTAAGATGTAATGGTGATAAGGGTTCATTAATTTAATTATATATTAGTATAATTGAAAAATAAACTGATTCTTATGAAGCAAATTGGATGAGAAAGTAGAATGATAAGTTGCAAGTATTAATTAATTGAATAATATTTATTATTAAATGAAAAAGACATCTAAGAGATAATCTACAATATATCGATAATCGATAGCAATGTCTGAATTTTCACAGTCATTATTAGAGAAAAATGATGTTTTGGCTTAATCAATACAAAAAATAGTAAAAAAGCTTACTCCTTAAAGCAGAATAGAGAAAGCTGAAAGACATATTTATGATGCCTATTATTTAAGAGCCATACGTAATGATATAGATTTAGTAAATAAATAATATCTGAAACTATTATGGTATTTGGAGAACAATCAATTTTGGATTAATGGATTATTTATTTTGTCCATCATTTATCAATTAATGACATTTTTTGAGCCATCATTTCCTGATGAAGATAATGTGGAGAATCCAAGTTTATTCATTTTAGAATTTATTATCTTGATGTTTATGGGCATAGACTCATGTATAACCATTATTTTATTATTAACAAAGAAAGAAAGCAGATTTGCTTTTAATCCAAAAAGATAATTTAAATTGATTGTTTATTATTTTTGTTTAGTTGATTTCATAATACATTAATATGAACCAACTTTTATTAGAGTTAGCAAAATATGCAGAACTATGTTAATGCCAATGTATTCTAAAGATTTAAGAAGAAATTTAAAAGGAATTATGAAAGCTTCTAAGGATTTACTACTTTTGATTATGCTATATCTAATTGTAATTTCGCTATTTTCTTTTATTGGGATTAATTTTATTGGTAGATTAGAAAACGTTGATTTGAGAACTTAAGATTATGGCGATTTTTTTAAATTTTTTTCAATGTTATACATGTTAGCAACCCTTGATTTTTATCCTGATATTTTGATTCCACCTATGTATTAAGGAATCTATTATTGTTTTTTCTTTATTACATATTTACTACTATTCATATTTTTATTTGCTCCAATTCCATTAGCAGTTGTATATGAAGGATTTAGAAATCATAGAATGGAAATTGCAATAAGTGATATAATAAAATAAAAGACTGCTATGATGGCTAGTTTCATATCTTTAGACTTTGAAGATTAAGGATATTTGACTAGAGATTAATTTAAAAATTTTATTAATCATTTCTATAAGAACACTATAAGTGAATAATAAATAAACTTATTATTTAATTAAATTGATTAGGATTTTAAGTAATGTAATTATAACAATGTAGTGATAAGGTTTAATTTGATGAATTTCATAAATTTCTTCATTTACTTCAAGATGCTTCAGTAGTCTCCTTACCAGAAATTAAACCTTTTGTTTGTTGGGAATCATTTAGAAATTACCTTATATCTAAAGGTTTATTAAAATTAGTTGAAGGACATGTAATAATTTTATATACTATTTCAATTTTAGATATTTGGAGTATTCATGTTAGTTATTACTATTTCTAATTGTATATTGATAGTTTTAGCATTTTTTATTGAAGATTAAGAAATCCTTGATATTTTTAATATTTTTGATACTGTATTCTTGGTTCTATATTCATTAGAATGTCTAATTAAAATTATTGCTCTAGGAATTAAACCATATTTCTAAGAATAATGGTATAATACTATTTTTATAATAGGAATATTTTTGATATTACTTTGGTAATTCTCTAAATAATATTTGATTATATATTATTTAATATCGTCTCAGAAAATATTGCTTAATCAATCAAAGCTAATAGATTATTGAGATTGGCTAAAATTTAAAAAGTATTCAGACTTTTTAGAGCATTTCGATCTATAAAAATAATAAATATTTTATTTGAAGGTTTATAATTTTTAGATTTAGTTAGAACTTTATTATACAAAATAATAATTTGTGTACCTTTAATTTTAAGGTTAATGTTACCTGTACAAATGGTATTCTTTATTTATTCTTGTATTGGTATGTATTTATATGGTAAAATTCAAAATAATGAAGATAATCCATATGCAAACACATAATGTGATGTTAATAATTTTGAATATTAATGGGGAAGTTGTAAATATGCAGACTTTTCTACTTTTGCAGGTTCATATTTAATGATGCTTTAAATGTTTATAGCAGCTGAATGGAATTAAATAGTATTTGAATTAACATATGACACTGATGATATGTTATCTGCAATGTTATTTGTGGGTTCTTTTGAATTTTTTTCAATTTTTTTGTTAGCTTTAATAGGTGGATTGGTTTGGGAAGTTTTTGTAATTGTGTCTTAATCTTTGAAATAAAGTGAAGATCAACTTGATCCTTTAGAAAATAATTTAGATGAAAAGTAAGAAATTAATAATTAAGCAGCTAAACATGATAAAAAAAAAAAATCAATTTTAAATGATGATAATCCAGTTGAAATTAAATTTCATCGTAAATTTAGAATTGATAAAATAAATAAAACATAAATTTAGATGAATAATGTATAATAATATCAAGAAGATGATATAGTAAATGATGAAAGACCTGAATTTCATATTTCTTAACCTTGTTCAAGAATATACTTTCTATGACATGGAGGTTCAGGTAGAAGAGTTGCTCCATTTTAAAATTTAAAAATTTAAAGATCTGATGTAATTGATCATTATTTAAAGAATTTTATCACATTTGAAATGTGGTTATAGAAGAAATAATTAGAAGGTTTAGATATCAATAAATTAGCAATTGATTATATGATTCATTTAAGAAATGAAATTAAAAAGGATGAAATTTTGTAAAAAAAAAATCTTAATATTTCTAATCATCATTTATTAATTTAGAATGCAGTATTAAAAGATGCATCTGAAATTTATATTAAACAATAAGAAGATAAATTTTTTAAGTCATCCTTCGGCTAAAAATTTGAAAGAATATAAGAACTCAAATTTTAAAGTAAATTTAAAATTGAAAGTAAAATCATATTTTCTCTAATGGGGATTCTTAAATTCCCAAATCCAAATCTTAAATATTATTTCTAAATCCTTAATTTAATAGAGAATTACTTTACATACTAATTACTTTCTGATTATTCTTTTTTTAAATTAATTCATTAAGTCAATAATAAATGGTATACTATTAGTATTGAAGATGGATAAATATTTTTTTAAAAAGTAGGTAATGGTCCATGGGAATACTTTGAATAATTATTTTAAGAAAGCAATATGAGAATATGTGAAAATATGTCAACACTATTTGAAACTGGTAATCAAGAATGTAAAAGAGCAAATGAATAATTTAATTTGAGTGTTAGATCTATTGCAAAAAAGTTAGAAATAAATTTATCTTCAATTGAAATAAATAATTCATGTGTTCTTTATTAGATCAAAAATGAAAAAATTATTAATAACGATATCCAATCATTTAAAATTAAGAAATGTATTTTTCAAATTTATCTAAATTAGCCAATGTAACTTCTGAAGATTAATCACCTAATAATCAATAATATGTATATTTGGACTCCTAACATTAATCAAATGCATTTCTTAAACTTAACCAATCTCCAAAAATAGAAACAATTAATTTAGATGACCAAAAATATGTTAGTCAAACAATATTGTTTACAATAGCAAGAACTTTAGCATAAGAATAAAGAATTAAATATTAAAATATTACAATGCTCACTTAATTCTTATAAGATGTAGGAAGAGTGATAGAAAATTATAGTTCTACCTTCTTTTAATAAATATACAATCTTTATGAATTGAGAAATTAAGACAAAATAAAGAGCATTCGTAAATTGTGATATTGTTTAGGTGGGTAAATTAATACGCCACTAATTTATTATTTTGTATTTCCATAATTCTTTCTATTAATTAAATAAATGAATAATTGTTTGTTAACGCCTAAGTCTAAATAACCAAAATGCCCTAATGCTCCTAAAAAATAATACTATACTACCAGAATTGATGAATAGTCAATAAGATCAGTTTGTAGAGTACTTTTTGCTGATGAAACAAAATCCTAAATCACTTTTACATAAACTGCATGATTGTCGTATATTACATATAACTTATATATTAAAAACTTTTAATAATTTGTTTAATCAATTACAACATATTTAAACCTATTTTATACATAAAATGTTTTAAACAAATGTTCAACCTAAATGTACTTTATTATCCTTAATCAATTCAAGAATAAAAATTATAAATAAAATTATATAAGAATTATAGATTTTTTTTAAATCACTAAAAATTACTTCTACAACCAATTATTCAAAAAAAATAACTCAAAAACAAAGTTTTTATATTCATTTTTCAAAGTTTGAACCTGGCTAAAAACTTAAAAATTACAAAAGTATTTATAATACTATCTGTCACATCAAAACATTCAAATTTATTTATACTTACTCTGATTTTAATAAATATTACAAAATTCTCAACCAAAATAAAAATATAAACTTTAGTTAAAAAGACAATTAATAAATAAGTTACTAACAATATTTTTTATATTATTCATCCAAAAATACAACAAAAACTACAATTCTTTAATCAAATATAATATATCTAAAACAGACATTATTTATATACAATAGAAAGTATTAACATTATATATTTAGAAGATCAATCAGACTACTATTTAAAAAATGAATCAAGTAAATTAATTTAGACCATTCATTAATTAAATTTCTAAAAAATTATCTACTAAAGCAGTCAAACTAATTTTTTAAAAGCAAATATAAAATTATTATTTGTAGAAAAACAAAAGCAATTCGTTTTATCAAACTTTGTAAATTGATCTCAAAATTTGAAAAAATACAATTACCATCAAAACTAATCAGAGATTAATTTCAATTCATCTAAAAATAAAAATCAGTAAAATTTTATGCTAGGTTTAAGCTGAATTGCCATATGATCTAATTTAATTAGTTTATTAATATATTTGTAAGTATAAAATCATATATCTCTGAGCATTATATTTGAGAAACTATTGCTTGAAATATCTGGCTCAGTACTTAGATTTTCATTTTTCAATTCTATATCAAATTTTGATTTGAATGATAATAGAGATTATTTTACATTACCTTATTTTTGATCTAAATTTAGATATATGATTTACATAATTAATAATCTTTTGTTTTTAATTCTTTAGTTAAACATTCCAATTTAATTTCTGAGGCTTCTAATTGTTTTCTCATTTCTTTTATTTCTTCTAAATAGATTTATGAATTTGTTTCTTATTTATAAATTTCTATTTATTTTTTATAATGTTCTATTTCCTCTTTTAATATTTCTATTTCTTTTGTTTTTTTCATATTTTCTTGTTCATTCTCTTGTTTGTATTATGCATGAATTGCCTTTTATTAATATCTTTTTATACTTTTAATTCTACTATTTAATTTAATTAAGCCTCAAATCTTTTTAGCCATAACTATTCTTCCATCAGCTTTTGCTTTAATTATCTTTCCATTAATTTTAATCTTTATTCACATTCTTTATGAGTATTTGCATTGTTTTCTTGTTATTTCTAATGAATTGCATTTCCATCTTAAATTGTTAAGACTTTTCCTTATATGTTATTGAACAGTTATTAATTTAAAGCGGCATTTTAATTCTCTAACTACTAACAATATTTTTTATAATATCCAAGTTCTTCTTATATTTTTGAAACAGAATCGTAATCCATTAAATAATAACTGTAAATTTTTATTTCTAAAAATTATATAATTATGTGAAAAATTATAAGATTAATTTCCTTCAGCCTTATAAATTTGAATTAAAATTATTGTTTATATAATTGAATATTATGTTTTTAAGAATAATTTACAATAATCTTTTTTAAGAATAATTTACATAAACAAACAATAAATATAACTATAATATCAGAGAATTTATCAAAAAAAATATTTATCAATTTCTATAACTTAAAAAAATATATTAAAATATAAAAACAAATTAGATCTCGATAGAAATGTAGTTCTTTTAGAAATTTGTATATTTATTTATAACTCTTCGGATTATAGAATAAAGAATTTTAAGTAAATATTTATTAATTAAATAATTGAAAATTATTTTGATATTATTGAACTTTAAAATTAAATAGAAATCCTATTTTTGTGAGATAAAATAAAGAAAAAATCAAATAAAATTTTTTAAGATTTAATCATTGTACTAAAATTAAGGATTCTCAAAAGATTAGGACTATAGTTTATATATTTTGTAATTAAAACAAAATTTGAGACTTTAATTACTTTTATATACATTCTAATAAGAATTTAGGATATTCCTTTATAATTAAAAGTTTGCTGATATGAGCTAAGTAAAAATTTTCTCATAATTTTTTTTATAATTTTATGATGTTTTAATAATATTTTTATATGTTTGAAATTTACAATTTCACTCACACACAGATAAAATGGAATTAAACTTGCAAATATCGAAAAAATTTGATGAAAATGTCTTGAATCCTGTGGATTGCTTGGATTACACTTTAATATATTTGAATTAAGATTGTAAATAAAACAATAAAATTTGAAATTTACAGATAAAAAATTAAAATAATTTGAAACATTCTTGAACTCAATAAAGAGTTTTTAAGAAATTGTTTAAGAATTAAAGATTAATTTATGCATTAGAATAGATTTTCCCTTTTAATAAATAGTATATGTATTGCAATTAATGTTTGATAAAATGAATAAAAATCTTATATCTTAGTATTTAGTTAATTTTTGTATTTGTTTTTGCAATTTGAACAATATTAAAATTTTTCATTTTATCTACCAAAGCATCCAGGATCTTTTGAAATCAATGTTCTAGAATACTCACTCTTCATTTGGTAATACTTGAATTTGATTAGATTTGAATAATAATGGTTCATGAACTACTTTTATCCTTATTTTTACTTTCTGACGCTTCAACAGTGGTAATAACCATAATTGATAAAAAGTGTTTAGAATATTATAAAAGTGGAGGAGGGCTTGGAGTATGAGATTATATAATTTTTAGTTAATAGCCAATTGAATCAAAATCAACCATGTAATAAGTTGAATAGAACTAAATAAAGGAAAAAAAAATAAATAAAACAAGAAAGAAAAATTCAAAGAAAACATATAATAATGGTATTATTATCAATATATATTATAGGCCACTGGACACACAAGGAACATAAGTTATATATGTAATTTATAGAAAAAAATAAAGAAATTATGATGAAATCAGACATGAAAAAGCAAGAGAAAATTTTTAAATAAATGTCTCTTATCATAAAATCCAGATCTCCTTCATAATGTAGATCACATCATCAAAAATTCAATCCTTTTTGAATATCATCAATTAAATATATAAAAATTAAAAAAAATTGATTTATATTTATTATTTAAATTATTTCAACTTACAAACAATTTTCTTGTAGCATTTTGAAGTTGAATTAAAATTATATTAGTCAGGTTTAAAGATCTTAAATAAGTTTGCTATAGCCATAAATTAAAATTAAAAACCATCTTTTTAAAATAAAGAATCTCATTTTTTAATAAATTATAATAAAAAGCATCTCTAAATTCAATTAGATCTGATTAATTTATCCTCTATATTAAAAATTTATTATTTTTTTCTTAAATCAAAAAATAAAGACAGCACATTGAAAAATTGAATTATTAATTGTCTTTTTTTTAGGTCTTTTTAAACTGTTTTTTTAATATATCAATTATCTTTCTTAATCTGCTAGTAATCAGTCTAAAAAGTTAGTTGCTGAACTAAAATCTACTATATAATATTATCATGATTAAAAACACTGTTTTTTATTTAATAAAATTCTTGTTCATTAAAATTTAAGCAAAACTGCTGCAAATTTTTATTTAACCCGTTTAAAACAATTATTAATAGTTATAGACGATAATCTTACATTTTCTTTAATCCGATACTTTTTTTGAGATTGTTCTTGTTTATTGTAGAATAAATTGAATTCTAGAGCATTAATCAACAATTATTGATTATTAATAAAAACTTTGAAAACTGAAAGCGTTTATGCTATGATTTGAAATTTACAACTTATATTTATTTTAAATTTCCCCAGTTGATTTATTTATTTATTTTTTGAAGATATTTACAACTTATATAGTTGAGTTACATTTTATAACAGTCGTAGATTGTATATATTTTATAAGAAACTATTTATCATTAGTTAGTTGATAGATAACAGTTGATGAATATCTAATTATCAATTAATACAATGAGAATTTCTAGATTAGACATACAAAGTAAAGAAAGTTTCTATTGTTTTTGGATCTTTGATATAAATTCAATTTGAAAACAAAATTGGTTAAACAATTTAATTTTATGTTTAAGTCATATTAGGTTTAAAATTAACACGTTATGTTTTTGGTTTTTAATTTATTTGAATGTTTTAAGCCATTGATAAAAAGTATAAATCAAAGTTTGAATATATGAGTCAAATTACTCATATTTTTTGAATTTAAGAGAATATTTCAAATATAGGATTTTATTTATACAAGTATGAAGGTCTTTTTTTACTATTTAATTTAAATTTCTATGATTTTGAATATACATATGAGATCTAAAAATTGTTGAATTAGTTTATCGCTATGGTCATTTAAAATTGATTGTGATAATCCAGCAGTATTAATTTAATGAAGGTATTTATTTGTGTAGAATTGAAATTATTGAAGGAGTTGTACTAATAATAAGTTAAACAGATTGATTATTAGATTTATATATTATTATATACATTTAATGGAAAATGAAATAACAAAAATGGATTATAATTAGCTTTAGAAAGAAGCTAATTAATGTATGGAAAACATTTTATTTTTGGCAATTGATAAAAAATAATAACCGAATGTAAAATCAGAGGAATATTAGAGATGCTAAAGGTTAGTAACAGAATTCAGAAAATAATTTATTGAGCATATGGCAAAGACATTAAAATTAGATGAGAAATCTGTTTAACATATAAATTCATAAATGAACAGCAAATAAAACTGAATGATAATAATTAAAAGTATAATCATATAATTTATTGATTGACATAATGTAATAATCTATTTTTGACTTTGGTTAAACAACATCTAAATTTTGGCAGAATTGCGATAAAGATTTACTTGATGTACATCTATATATCTCAATATAAGGAATAAAATGAGTTGTTGGAGCATGAATTCTTAGTTAGTTCAAAATAGAGGTAGATTAAGAAAATGTTTTTAGTGATGAGTTAAAATGCAATATTTAGAATTTCTGTATAAGATTTGAAGTAAGCACCATTAATGACAATGCATGTATAATTTATAGAAAGATAATCTGATAACTTTGTATAATTAAATTCTGATGAATAATTGTTTGGTTTTCAACTTTCTTATTAAGGAAAGAATATAGAAATATTTACTTCGGATAAATTGAATTATGATATTTGGAAGTGTCATTTTAGAAGATTTGCAATTTTGAATAATTTTCATGAAACATTTTTAGTATCTAAAATTATTGGGAAAGGAAGCTTTGCAAAAGTTTATTCTGCAATAAAAAAAGAAAATAATACTTAATATGCTATAAAAGCATTTAGTAAGATTTATATGTCATAGTAATCTAAAGGGATTGAAAGTATATTAAATGAAATAAAAATAATGAGAAGACTAAATCATCCAAATATTGTAAAATTATATGAAGTACATGAAACTACAAATTCAGTTTATTTTGTATTAGATATGATATAGGGTGGAGAATTATTATCACGAGTAAGAGAAATAGGTAAAATATTATTATTATAATAATTATTAATAGGTTTTTTACCAGCTTAAACAATGTAAAAACTAGCATTTAACTTAATAAGTGCTCTAAGTCATATGCATGATAATCGAATTATACATAGAGATTTAAAACCAGAGAATTTATTATTCAGATCAACTGAAAATAATTATGAGATTATTTTAGCAGATTTTGGATTAGCAACTAGTTTAGAAGAAGAACCCTTATTTAAAAGATGTGGTACTCCTGGATTTGTTGCTCCAGAAGTCTTAGATTATATAGATGGTTAAGAATTTTATTCAGATAAATGTGATGTTTTTAGTGCTGGCATTATATTCTATTTGTTAATTGTATTTTATATTATTTTTATTTAAGACTGGTAATACTCCTTTTGTTGGAAATGATCAAAGGTCTATTCTTAAAAAGAACAAATAAGGTGATATTGATTTTAAAGAACATCATTTCAAATTGGCACCAATTTAAATGTAAGATCTTATTTAATCAATGCTTTAAAAGAAAGTTTCCTATAGATTAAGTTCATAAGAAGTACTCTAGATATATTAAATAATTAGTGTATGAGACATCCTTACTTCAAATAATTAGTTAAAGAATACAAAATATCAATTGAAAAGTATTAAAATAATTTACTGGGATATTAAGAGTTTAATAATGCAATAAAAATGGGAACTTAAGAAATAGAATAACGATCTCCATTGAATTTCAATTCTTCTGAATCTATCTCTTCAAATATTTCTTAGAATAGATAGGATCAAAGGAAATCATCTATTATTGTTGGAGCATCTAAATTTAGTTAATACAGTGCAAAATTATCAAAGTAAAACTCAAGAGAGATTACTGGTAATATATTTAATTAGAAAATAAGATATACCATTAAAATAAGAATCAAGAAAACCAAGAGATTTACATAGATTGGCTTTGACAAATAGTTAATTAAAATAAATTGCCAATAACTAATTCGAAAACATTGAAGATCCAACTGCTGAAGATAATAATATTGGTATAATGGTAAGATAATACAATTCAACAAGATAAATTAGAATACCAGATAATACTTTAAAAATTAAATAATGTAATACTCCTACAATGTAAAAATAATTATGAATTAAGTTATCATTTATCATTTCTATTCTAATCTATCATTTAATACTATTATTACTATTATTACTATTATTATGGATTTGATCTTATATATTGCTTTAAGAAATCTGTTTCAGAATCTATATATTTGATATATAATGGATCTAATGTAAAGAAGTCTTTAATTGGATATTCAGTTTCTAGTCCCATGAATTTTTTACTCAAAGCCAAAAACCTAAAATATAAATCTTCTTTTAAACATCAAAGTCTCTTTTTCTTGGATCTAATCCAAATACTTCTGCATTGTAGATAAAATGTACTTATGGTAAAAATACTTATACCATTAAGAATAGATATCATAATTTGGTTACTATTCTCCTTTTTATAAGAGAATCGTAAATTTTTTTAAATTCTCATCTTTAATCTCATCTTCTACTTGAAGAACCATTTAGATTGATTCCTTATTAACTAAGTTTAAGATACTTTGAATTGATTTTAATTGTTAATAGCATTTAATTCGACTAGTGCTTTCTGTTATTCTACTTTTTCATATTAATCCTTCATATAATATTCACAATTTATATTTATAGAATTCTCTCTGAAAACCTCTTTTAATTATTTACAAATTTAATCTTATTTATTAGATATTAAATATTTCTGATTTAAGTTTATTGCCATTTCATAACCACATAATGATGCCTTTAAAATATATTTAATTTAATTGCTAAATATTTAAAAATATTTATTCCTAATTTTAATTATAGAAATTACAAACATATTAAATTATTCTATACTTATTTTGCCAGTTCTTCTCTTGCCATTAAATTTGATATCAACATTCTAACTTCGTATT